CACAGGCACATACAAAGATAGACATACACACACATACAGACATACATACACACACATACAAACATACACATATACATACAAGCACATACAGAAATACATAGAAAAAACCCACATACATATACATAAATAGCACACAGACAGAAACAAACATACAACATACATGCAAACACACGTATTGATACATACAAAGACAGACATATATACACATGCACACACACACACACATATATATATATATATATGCACATACACACTTACCGTCGACGAGAAAGTCTTTCTCGCGTCATTGGTGAGAAAAAAATTGATAAAGCAGTAGGAGTGACCAGATGCAAGATAAGTCTGCAAAATAATGAATTTTCGAAGAAATTTCATTGAATTATACGGCACGATATTGAAAAATTCAAATTTTCCGACGCTGTTACGTGAAATCAATAAAAATTTTGAGTAAAACCATTAAAATTTGAATATTTCACGGATGTCGCCAAGCGAAAAAGTTGTAAAATTTAGGTAAACATGAGGTCGTCATTACATGAAATAATTGGAAGTTTAACCACGTAAAATCAGTGAAATTTTGGGTCCTCCGAGGCTTTTTTGTCACTGAATTGGTGAAATTTTGCTTTTTTTCAGTGAATCAATAAAATTTTGTGAAAAAAAAGTGAAAAAATGAAATCTTTTTGTCACTGAATCAATGAATCAGAGTGAAATTTTGTCTTTTTTTTTCAGTGAATCAATAAAATTTTTTAAAAAACGTGAAAAAAGTGAAATCTGCGGAATTTTGAGTGCATGTTTTGAGTGAATGAGTAAATATTTTGAGTGAAAAATTTGATTGAATGAGAAATTTTTTCAGTGAAAAAAAGAAAAAAAGAGGAAGAAATCAGTGGAATTTTAAGACGCCGGTAAACAGCAGAGTTTTGAAAGATTCTTTTTCGGTGAAAAAAGAAAAAAGAGGAAAAAATCTGTGAAATTTTAAATTGCCACTAAACAGCAATAATTTCTGGAAAAATTCTGGGAGATAGGGACACATCACGTGGAAGGGATCTACCGAAAACGATTGCCTACAGAGAACCGAGTTATGCGAGATTTCTTTCGTGTAATGTTCTACTGCTCCTCCAGAATCGCTCCCTCATCAAATGCCCCTCCCCTCCCCCTTCTCCCTCGTGAAAAGAGCAAATGGCTTCTACTCTGGAGAGAGGGACGGAGAGGAGGGGAGGGGGGCAAGCTGACTCTTCTGGCGGGGTCGAAAATCGATTTTTCTATAGGAAGCCGATTTTTTCTTTAGGAACTGAAACCTCTGCGGGAAGGGGGAAGGCAAATCGAAACCTACAAAGGGAGTCAAGTAGAGGCCAAATGGGAAGAGGTCAAGCCCGCACTATTTAACCTCAGCGCGCATCACAGAAGACGAACCAGGCCACTCCGTACAACGTCGTCGATCTCAACGAGCTACCTCATCTGCCCTCACTCATCCACAGCCAGGCTAGGCCTCAAACTCTATCTTATCTGCGCAACCGGGCCAAGCAATCTACCCAAATTCCAGGCAATTTCCCTCAGAACTGGACCAAGGAAGGCACCTCAGAACTCTGAAATCACCCCAATCCATAGTAGCCAGGCCTAGCAACCTTATCATTAGGAACCGTAGCGAAGCCACCTCATCTCCTGGCGGATCCAGGGCTCTCTTCTGCGTGGGGAGCGGGGGAT